GTGCCGCGGGCCCTGAGTCAGGCTAGAAGAGGGGCATGTCCCACCCTGGGGCCACTGGCGCCTGCAGAAGAGACATCCTTGGTGCCAGGGAGATGATGAGCTGTGGCCCTAACAACCAGGGTGGGGCGGCGAGCGGAGAGGAAGTGGCTGGGTGCACCTGGCAGGTGGGATGGCTTGTTTATGGCTGCTGCAAATGCATCTAAAGCACCCTGCCCTCCCTGGGCACAGCCGTACAGCAGGGCAAAGGCCCAGGGGGCAGCCTGGCTGGGCTGCAGCGAGCCAGGGCTATGAGCTAGGCAGGTGGGCACTGGTGGGTTTGGGCAGGGCAGAGGGTTGAAGGGCTGCAGGGTCTCACTCAGCCTCTAGGCCCTTTGGGTGGCACCTGAATTCTTTTAGCAAAGCTAGAGGCAGCAAAGTGGGCGCAGCACTGGGACCCGGACACCTGGGTTTTATGCATGGGCTGGCTGGTGGACACAGGGCTGCTTGATTTCTGATTCTGCTAGGTGCCTGGTGCTTAGCTGCCTCCTTTCACACCACTGCGTGCCCTCCCGCAGCCACCGCCGTTCCACCCCAGAGGTGGCCGCACTCCAGCGCTGCACCGTTTCGATGTCGAGAGGCTGGGTGTAGCGGGCGGGCGCTGCTCGTTGTGGGAGGGGAGTGGTTTAGGACCCCTGGGTTCTGATCCCAGCTGGGCTGCGTGGCTGGTGGCAGCTCCCTTCCCCTGCTCAGTGCCTCAGTTTCCCCCTCTGCCAGTGGAAGTAAGAACCAGGGGGCTCTTCAGGAAGAGCTTTGGGAGCAACGGTGAGCGAGACAAGGAAGTGCTTGGCTTTCTGGTGGCACAGACAAGCCGGACCAGCCGAGCCCAGTTCCCTTTGTGCCTGCAGCCGCAGCCCCTGCGCTCCTTGTAAGCCAGCAGCAGCTTGTCTGACGGGTCCCACCCACCCCTGTTGCCTGGCCAAGCCCTGGCCCCAGCCTGCCTTTTTCTCCTACCAGCAGAAGCAAAATCTGTGTTGAGGTTGTAAATTTTTTACTGCTAAGGGGATGGGTGGGAAATGATACCAGTGCTTCTTCCTCTAGTGAGGTGGGAGAGGAGGGATTTATGGTATTAGGGGCTGCAGCAGCTTCTTGGGGATGGGGATACATCAGCACAGGGCATGGTAGAGAGGGCATGTGCACTGCCAGCAGCGGTACATCAGGGGATGGGGGCATCCAGTGCTTGGCAATGCAGTGCAACTCCTTCTACCTGCTGGCAAAGGTGCCTCTCCTCTGTAGTTTGTGCTAACAACTTACCTGGCAGGGGAGACACAAGGATGCTTTCAGCCTAGGGGGTTGTTTTTACCTGGCAGGGGAGATCCCCTTCTTCTCGACTGTGAATGACCTGGTGTACAGGCAGTCCTCAGCTTACAGCGTTTCGAGTTACATTTCGCACTTACAACGTGCCTAAACTGGCACCGTTTCAACTTTCTGACCTCAGTTTCGACTTTGCAACGCTGCGTCGCCCATCTCCCTGGAGAACATCTCTCCAAACTTCCTTGGACACTTTCTGTAAGAAAGCAGACAAGACTCCAGAAAAACCTGCAGCCAGCACTCCTGAGAAGACTCCAGCCAAGACCCCTTCAAAAAGTTCAGCAAAGTCACCTCAAAGAAGTCCTTCCAAATCAACATGATTGCTATTTACAATATAAATACAGTAATGCAGTTATATTACTCATCTATAATTGATTGAGTACAAAATTCTGGGTTATTTTTGGTGAAAATAGGGTACCGGGCCTTGGTTCAGGAACCAATCCTCCATTTATAATATTGTTTCCTATGGGAAAATTGGTTCCGAGTTACGTTTCGACTTAAAGCGTGGTTTTCAGGAACCAACTGTGTCCGAAGTCCGAGAACTGCCTGTAGTTAGAGAGTGAAGGCCTGTCCCTTGCACTGCGGGCAGGCTGACCCCTGCCAGAGTCTAATGCTTCCCAATGGGAGGATCTTGGCCACACAATTGATGGTGATGGGGGATTGCTCCCTAGCTGACTCCTTCTGCCTTTTGGCTCAGTGAGACTAGGGGTCATCTGTACTCCAGGACCTGGGGGCTTGCACGTAGGAAGCTGCCATGGATTTGGGAGTATCTGAAGACCAGGTTGAAGAGTCTGGGTGGGAGGAGACTTGCTGGTGGCCGTGCCACCTGGACTGGAACGACTGAGCTCTGCTCAGTTGAGAGCACATGGAACCGATTTGGTTGATTTGGTTCCTGTCCCCACCCTGGGAAGGGGACCAGACTGCATGACCACAACCATGTCCCCTGCAGGGCTGGACGCACCAAACTGCCCAGCCCTGGAGACATGGAGGAATTCCTGTCCTCACCACTGGGAAAAGCCTCTACTCCTGCCTTGTCCTCTCTGCCTATTGTTCTGGGAGCCTCTATCTGCCTGGGATCAGCGCACCAGCCAGCCTTGATCTCTGTGCACCTTGCTCTCCCCATTCTTCGTGTGCCTCTGCTACCAGACATGTGCCTGGACCTGCAGGGCACTAAGTTCCCGGCAGCTTTGCTGCATCCTCTCCTCCCTGATTTGCCTACAATGCCCCGAACAGAAGGACAATGCACTCCCCAGACAAGCTAATCTGCAGCTCCAGGAGAACGGAAGGATCCCCAGACAAGCTAATCCCCAACTCCAGGAGAATAAATGAACCCACTGGACACAAGGCAAGGCAATGCACCCATATGCGCAACCTGCCTTGCTTGCCACGGCTGTGAAAAGCCTCTGCTGGTCATGGGGCGAGGACGCAGGCGATGAGTGGGGTCCTCCCTCCTTGGTTTTGTGCTGAGGCCCAGCATTTCCGAGCAGCGAGCAGCTGCAAACCGGGCAGAGCCTCAGAGCCAGGCAGTCTCATCCTGAGACGCCAGGAGAGGCGTGTATGGGGGTGCGAACAGTGGGGAGAACATGAGGATAGTGGATGGACAGAACGATAAATATTCAGGAATGGGGTTTTTCTTTTTGCAATTTTGTCTCTCAGGCCCAATCAGACCAATCAAGTCCAAATTCTCTCTACTGAGCAGAGCTCAATCATTCCAGGCCAGGTGGCGCAACCACCGGCACGTCTCCTCCCTCCCAGACTCTTCAGCCCGGGGCTTCGGATACTCCCAAAGCCACGGCAGCTTCCTAAGACCCAAGCCTGGAGTTCTTGGAGCTCAGATTACCCCTAGTCACGCTTGCCCCGAGCCAAGAGGCCGAAGGAACAAGCTAGAGGGAAAGCCTGGGATCAACAGATCCTCCCATTGAAGGCATTACAGACTCTGGCAGGGGTCAGCCTGCCCGCATGCAAGGGACAGGCCTTTGCCCTCAACTACACCAAGTGGTTCAAGGCTGAAAAGGGGATTTCCCCTGCCAGGTTAAAACAACCACCTGGGCCGAGACCACCTCGTGGTGGTATGGCCCCTGCCACCCACCATAAATACGTGGGGATGTGGGTGGATGGATGGATGGATGGCAAGGAGATGGGTAGAGAGAGGAGGGGAGCATATCCATGAGAGATGAGTTTCTTTCAATATAATTTTGAGACTTGCTGTCATGCCCTAGCCTCTTTACACACACACACACACACACACACACACACGCAAGATCGAAGATACATGCATGTACATGCCACGTGTATATGTAGGTAGCTACAGGAAACCTCACATATCCTCTTCTGTTAGCGTGTTGTTGCGACCAACGCCAGGAGACAAATGGCTTCTGGCGAATTTTGAAATGAAAAACCCCTCGTTCATTTGGAGGCAGGCCAGGGAGGAAGAAACCGGGGCGGCTCAGCCCGCTGGAAAGGCGAGAGAGCTCTTGTCCGGCGTGAGTGAAGCAAGCGGCTGCTGCTTGGACTCTGGGCTGTTGGAAGCGGTTTTGGATTCAAATGACAGGCAGGGACGCCATGCAATGCGAGTCCGCTCTGGCCAGAGGGGTGTCTGGCTGGGAGCCGGCAGGCTGACACGGGAGCCTTGGGGGAGTCTTTATTTCCTTCAAAATGGGCCTTTGAGCAACCTGGCCGCACTCCCAGCTCAGCAGCTCCTGCTGCAGAATGGTTTGCTGCACATTTTGCCTTCTCTGCTGATGCCTCCTAGGAGCCTCCTTGGCCTATTGGTTCCTCAGCTCCTCTGCGTGTGGCCCTAGCAGAGGGTCACACCAGCCCCGCAGACTTGGCCCTCCAGACTCCGGCCACGGGACCGCTTTCCGCCAACTTGCATCCCCCTCTCCACCTTTCTAGCCCAGCTGCACAAACACAGCTCGTCCTGCCTCCCCCACCCTGCATGCCGGACATTTGCACTGTGGTTCCCCACCCCTGCTGCCACTGCCGTGGGGTGGGTCTGGGTGCCAGGGCACCCGCTAGACTGGTACCAGCAATATGACAGGAGGCCTGGCAAGCCTTCTAGCCAGTGGGCTGATGGAGGGGAGCATGCACGTCCTGATCCATGCCAGGCCTCAGCTCTGTGTGTGCAAGGGGCTGGAAGCCAGGCACCGCTTCTTGCAGGAAT